AGCAGCAACACTTAGTCGATCTCGAAGCAGTATTTAAAATTTTAGAGGAACATCGGTTACTCACCAAGAGATCCAAGTGCGAGTTTTTTCGGGATAGGTTAGAATTTTTAGGGCACGTTCTTTCGGAGGCTGGAGTTGAAATCGACCCCAAGAAGCTGGATACCGTAAAAGCGTGGCATCCCCCGACGAACATCACGGAGCTGCAGAGTTTTTTAGGGTTCGTTAATTACGTTCGTCGATTCGTCCCCGACATGGCACGCTTAACAGCCCCGCTAACAGATTTACTTCGCAAGGGGGTCGTTTTTACGTGGGGGGAGAACGAACATGCTGCCTTCTCTACCCTGAAACATGTTCTCTGTTCACCACCCGTCCTACGCATCGCTGACCCACATCGCCCCTTCGAAGTTTTTACAGACGCAAGCGACATCGCCATCGGAGCCATACTGTTACAGGACTTCGGCAATGGCCTCCAGCCCATCGCCTACGAATCACGAAAACTGCATCCGCCTGAACGAAATTACCCGATACACGACCGTGAAATGCTCGCGATCGTGCATGCGTTCAAAGTGTGGCACTGCTACTTGACCGGCGCAGACGTGACAGTACGGACAGACCATCGATCCCTACGGTACCTCCGTGCACAGCCCCACCTCAACCCACGACAGATTCGGTGGCTCGATTTCCTCGAGTCAAATTTCCATTATACGGTCACATATAAAAAAGGAGCCTCGAATATCGCCGACGCACTAACCCGCCCCACTGCCCAGATCCATGCGATACTACTCGCCCAGACCAGCCCGCTACTGACAGGACTATTTACCCACGGATATCAAACAAATCCATTCTTCACAGGAGGCAACTCGCAGCAATTTGCAGCAGCCAAGGGAGTCTATTACGTAAAAACTGGAACCGACCGCATCTGGGTACCAGGGTACACACTACTACGGGAATTACTGTTATAGGAGGCACACGACGGAGTTACCTCGGGACATTTCGGAGTAGAGAAAACACGGCAGCAGCTGCAGCGGTATTATTACTGGCCCGAAATGTTGACCGACGTGCAGTGACACGTGGCATCGTGTCCCACTTGCCAGATCATAAAGTCAACCCGGAAGCGGCCGGCGGGACAATTGCAACCAATCCCACCTCCAGAGCGTGCTTGGCAGCAAGTGACGATGGACTTCGTCACGGGGTTACCGGCCGGGGCGAGTGGGAATGACGCGATCCTGGTCGTCGTCGATCGACTGACGAAAATGGCACACTTCGCAGCCTGCAAGAAATCAATCACAGCCGAAGAAACAGCCCGCCTCTTCATCTCTACTGTCGTTCGACTACACGGGATACCAATATCAATCATCAGCGACAGAGACACGAAGTTTACTAGCAACTTCTGGCGGAACCTGTGGCAGCAGTTCGGCACGCGCCTACAGTTCAGTTCATCGTATCACCCCGAAACCGACGGACAGACCGAACGGACAAACCAGACCATGGAACAGCTCATTAGGGCCACGTGCGACGATCCAAATACGTGGGAACAGCAACTGCCACTCATCGAATTCGCATACAACAGCGCCCCATCCGCCATGACCCAACAGTCACCATTTTACCTGAATTACGGACAAGACCCAACAGTACCCATGACACCGAATCCCGACAACCCCGTTCCACGCGCACAACAGTTCGCCGAGATTTTGCAAGCAGCACGGACCAGGGCAGCAAAAGCAATCTAAAAATCAAACATCATCGCTAAACGCAACGCTGACCGCCACCGCAGACCTGTCACTTACCAGCCCGATGACCTCGTTTTACTCGACACTCAAAACCTCCGCCTGCCGATCACCCCCAAACTCCGCCCTCGATACTGTGGGCCATTTCGAATTAGCCATATGATAACGCCTGTCACCGCGCACCTCCTCCTCCCTGCTGACTGGTACGTCAGCCCCTCGTTCCACGTCAGCCGGCTTCGCCCCTACGTACCCTCCACAAGCCAACTCCCACACAATCGACCAGCCAGCATGGCACGACCACCAACCGAACCACTCATCACCCCCGACAAAATCCTGAGCCACAGAGTTCGCGACCCTCGTGGAGCCAGAAAGATCGAGTTCCTGATCCGCTGGAAGGAGCGTAAACCCACCGAGGACAACTGGGTTCCCCTGGACAGAATTGAAAACCACCCTGTCCTCACCGAGTATCTGCGCAGCCGAAACTTCAGGGACGTCCACGCACTGTCGTAAGAAGGACCTCCTTAGGAGGGGGTGTAGTGTAAGGAAAATCACTTTTCCTTACTTCGCATCCCTGCTTAACGCGTACATCGCTGTAGCACCTCAGTCAGCACCGTTACCACTCGCGATCCTCGCATCGACAATCACCCCGCCATTTTCGCACATCGCACCCCGACCTCACGGCTCGGCTGGTAACCCGCGCTCCGGGCCTCCGCTTCGAGACTTTCCCAACCTCAGTCATAGGCTCGTCGCGCGACAACCACAGTCCATTACCGTTACCACTGTAGTTTTGCTATATAATCTTCGCTCATGCTTTCGCTCATTGTATTCTTGCATCGATAGTGCAATTCTCGTTCGTTCACTCATGTAAGGATTTACATAATCCTTACTGAGGCATTTGTTAGCAAGGCCATCCCGAGGGTCACGCGACGAACCTGTCCTTCCTATTTCGTCGCACCGAACCACTCCCGAGTCGCCCCCGCTCCAATCCCAACCATCACCAAGCCATCCTCGCCCAACCTCTCCGCCTAGCTAGCAGTTCCCCTATTTAGTCGTGCCTTTCTTATTGTATCGTGAGATTCAGTGATTCGGTATTCGACATCCTTTCAATAAAGTCTTCCGCGCACTCTGTCTAGTAAAACTCATAACAACTCAATTGCACTCGTAACAATAACTAATCTTGCAATGTTACACCCAAGCAACAAGGTTGCCACCAAACCAAACCGTAAAACGAGCTTCGTAGAGTTAGACAGAGTAGGGAAACGCGCCTCGTAATATGTTCTCGCTGCATTTATCTGCTGAAAAGAGTGGGATTGCGAGATGCTAAAACAGCGAGGAGCACAAAGCAAATCTTTGCGTTACCACCTGCGAAACGCTTTGGTGTGGTTCGTCGAATGAGCTGAGTTACTAGCCACAACCCTGATGACCTACAAATACAATAATCGTGAAGCCTCTCGCCCCGCCTAGAATTCCGCCTAGACCCTCTGCCTCTTGAGAACAATTATTCCCAGCTCACTGTACCCGAAAGTGACTCAACGACATTGCTTTCCTTGGAGCAAATCCCCAAGAATGACGGAACGGAATGACGCCGCTCCCCAAAACAATTATCGTAGAGGCTATCGCCTTCCCAACCTTCGATTCGCGAAAGAACTACAGCCTTTTTCGTCGGCATCGCAAAGCAGTCAGTCTGCGACGAGAACGAAATTTTTGTTATTCTGAAGCAGAAGAGAGGACATCCATGTGGGGGACTCCAGCCAAGCAGTCCGTGCCTTGAACCCACATTCCCCAAGTTCCGATTCTCCCCGACTGACGCAACTAAATAAATCTCTTCCTCCTTCACTTGATCATCATCTCAATCGATTTTTTGCCCTACAAGCTGTGTCTGATATTCAAGCCCGTTTGCATATCTGTTTTCACATCAGCAAGCTCCCGCAAGCTCTCAGCGGTTCTTTCCCCCTGCTCCTTTTCTCCAATGGCTCGAGTTTTCAAGATCGGCGGGTTACTCTGCGTGGGAATCGTCCTGCTAGGAGCTCTCGCCCTCACTCCGGCCGATGCCATGTACGCCACGTCCGCCGATCTGAACCGCGAGGGAACGTGCTACCGCGGCCAATTCGACCACGGCGAAAGCTTGGATTTCGACTACGGCATGGTAGCGCAGGTACCTTCGGGAGATTTCAGCAGCGGAAAGGGCTGCGGAAGGTGCTATGAAGTTTCCTGCATGAACCACCCGAGCTGCTTGGAGGGCAGCGTGCTGGTGCGCGCGGTCGGCCAAAACGGCGACTTCAACCTCAACTTCGCCGCGTGGGACAGAATCGTCGGTGACCGGGCCGCGGGGCGCGTGGAGATCGACTACCGCAGCGTGGACTGCCCTAACAACGGCGGACTGAAGGTAAGGCTCGTGGACGATAGCAACGCGTACAACTTCGCGCTTCAGATTCTGGGAGCGGCGGGGAGCGGAGGCGTGGAGAACGTGGAGCTGTCGAACGACGGGTCGCAGTGGGCGAGCATGACGACGTACGGATGGGGCGCCACGTGGGTGCTGAATCCCGCCAAGGACGTTGTCGATGCGGGCCTCCCGGTGAGCGTGCGCGTGACGGGCAGCGGGCAGCAGGTGGTGCTGCAAGACGTGATTCCGAGCGGATGGAGCGCCGGGACGACCTACGAGAGCGGCAGCAACTTCTAGGCGAAGTCGTTGCGAGATGGGTGTATGGGTGCAACGGTTGCTGCTAATAACGTGACGAACTGTAACGAGGTGGTGCGGCGCACTCGAGTGCGTGGAAATAATGCAGCCACCGTGGCAAGGTGGTGTGCAGGCAGTGAATAAAAGCCCAGCCAGCCTCTGGGGGTGGATGGGTCGAGGCTTTATCAACCCTATAGGGTGATCCGATGAGATGGTGGAAGCAATTGCTCATTCTGCTAGTATTTTGCTCTTCCACTGTCATCCTTTTCAAATTTCAGTCAAATGAGATAGGTACACCACACACACAAAAACACGTTTCATAGAAAAGTTAATACATCTTCATGTGTGCCAAGAAAACTAGAGACATCAGTAACGTTATCTTTCACTATGCAAAACTGCATGTTTGTTGTGACGTTTTTTTACATTACATTCTACATTTGAAATGTCTGCAAATGCCAAGACCTCCCCGGAGACACCTCTTGTGGGGCTTTGGTCATTGAAAATGATCAACACGCTCCTCCAGTCCAGTCTCTTCCCCACTCTCCTTCCTCCTCCCTTTGTATCCGCTGGCAACTTTCTGCTTTCCCCTGGGGTCACTAACTACCATGTTGAATCCCCTGAAGACGAGCCAGCTCCAAGCTGAAATCAACCTGCTCAGAGCTCTCGATCTCGAGGTCGATGCGGGCAGCCATGCGGTCCTCGTCCTCCCCAAAGAACTCCTCCTTGAGCAGCAGCAGCTCTGCCAGCACATGGCTCATGCCCGGGCGAGACGCCGTGGGCATGGCGGTGCAGGAGAGCGCCAGGCGTGCCATGCGCAGCACCAGGTCGTCCGGTGCTTGCAGGTGCGGGTCCTTGAGGGCCGCCACGTCCCCTGCTGCCACCAGGGCTGCTGCCTGTTAGTGATGATTCGGGGGAGACGAGGGAGGGAGGAGAGAAAGGGAGATTGAAGATTTGTGGCCAAGAGGTAAGGAGATATCATATGGAAAGGAGGAATCATCTTGTGAAAAGGGGTAGAGGGCGCTGCTGCGATGGTGGTGGTTGTTGTTTCCACACGCACCCACTGCTTGAGGCTGACTTGGTTGGACTCGATGTTGTAGATGGCCTTGCGAGCCGTGATCACCGCCAGCATCACCACTCCAAAGCTGCAGGCAGGACAGGAAGCATGGCAGCAATGAACGGGCAGCAGGGAAGAGAAACATCAAACAGTCAGCAGGAAAAGGAAGGCAACTAGGATAATTAAACCATCTTGTGCCACCAAGCGCCAGACAGGCTGGTCTTGGTATGGGAGATGTCTGAAATGCCATGCATGATATTGCTAATGCATATGCCTGGCTGCATATGCATAACAGAGAGAAAAAGCCAATAACACATGCACACGTGAGTAACACATCATCCACACCTATGCACGTCGGCCTTGGGAGTGGCCTTGTGGGAGCGGTAGTAAGTGGGGTCCACATAGCCCGGCGTGCCCATGACTCGGGTAGCGGCCACAAATGTACCTTCCCCAAGTCGCACCAGCCCAAAGTCAGCGAGCTTGGCGTGCATGCGCGCGTCCAACAGGACGTTTGCGGGCTTGATGTCGCAATGCACGATGCTGAAGCCGTGCAGATACTCCAGCCCGCGCGCCATGCTCATCAGGATGGCTAACCGCTGCTGCATTGTGAGCGGGTGGGGTGCGCCTGGGAGGAGAAGGTGTGGCAGTTGGGAGTTGGGCAGCTGGGTGTGTTTATGGATGGAACAAGAGCCTCGAATTGCAATGCATTCGAGCCCTTTAGGTTGATAGAATGGATTCCATGAATCGCAATGAGTTTTATGAGCGTTTAGAAAGTAAATGTAGAGAGTAAGGATGTAACAAGGGGTTAGACCATGCATACGTAGTACACAAAAACCACTGCTTCGGCTGTTGGATTTACCCAAGGGTTGACTAGACTAAGGCAGACACAACTGGATAATCAAGACGAGATACTCCTCCAAGCCTTTTTTTTTGTCGACTAAACATTTCGCAATATACCTTTTCGAGTCTGTACCATCTTACACTGTCCAATTCACCTGCCTTGGGCCAATCCTTAACAAACCTTGTACCCACTCACCTGGTTCAATCCATCTATCATGTGAAAAAACAACGATCAACCCCAGCTCACCGGGTCTGATCCAGCGGTCGAGGTCGCCAATGGCCATGAACTCATAGACCACGATCTGCTCCATGCGCTCCGCCTAGTAGCTCATGTCAAAGCAGCCGCATGCATCATGGACGTACGAGCGACGTCCATGACCATGCCAATGCGGTGCTCAGCAATCCCATTTTGCTGTGTAGAGGCCGGAAGCGTGAAGGTCTGGCGGATGCCCTGTGCACGACAGAAGGCTCCGAGACGGGCAGAGGAAAACTCCCCGCCTCTGTCCGAGTGCAGACGCAGAACAGGAAAGTCCGAGCCGAAACTCTCTCTGAGCTGGAGACGAGCTGCGCGGATCCAGTCGATCAACACCTCAGTGACGTCACCCTTGCTGCGCAAGGGGAAGACTGTGGTGTAACGCGAGTAGTCATCAACCACCAGAAGGAAGTACCGCTCATGCCCGTGCCCACTAACGCGGGCGGGGCCCCAAACGTCCATGTGGAGAGTCTGCAGCGGAGCCTCAGTCGTAGGAAACTCGGAGGAGTGAGGGGTGGCGCGCTGTCGCCCCTCGACACAGAGGATGCAGGTAGGGCCAGGCCCTGGAGGTAGGGGAGGGAGAGACCGAGGGAGACCAGAGTCAAGGATACGGGAGGCCATGCCTCGAAGACGAGGCAGGGAGGGGTGACCAAGGCGGTGGTGCCAAAGGAGAGTCTGGTGGGACAGGAGACGACACGAGCAGGGAGCAGACTCAGGACCAGACCTGGACGCTGCAGCAAACACCTAACTCGAAGCAGCTACCTGGCCAGACTCAGCAGCCGGAGGAGACTCAGTAGTAAGGGTGTACAGGCTCGACCCTGGCCGACGGGTGAACGTGGCCAAGTGTCGGCCTGTCCGAGCACACGTGCAGTGGGTCACCCGCTGACTCGCAGGAGTGAACTGGTCAACCCCCCTATCCTGTAGGTCCGCTCCACTCACCAAGTTTGTAGAGAACAAGGGGAGGTAGAGACCTGATAGGGTGCCAGAGGGGGCTGCCGGGCACGGTAGGACAGTGGAGAAGCTAGCAAGGACAAGACCCCCAGAGGGGTCTGCCAGGGAGACTGCAACCGGCCGATTGAGCGGCGTAAGAGTGGTGCGGTCTCGAAAGAAGGAGCGGGACGCACCCGACTCAAGGGTGAAGGTGTGTAAGGTCTAAGCCGACGTAGTACCTGAGAGAGCAGACTCACCAGCACCTGGGGCAGCAGACGCACTAGCACCTGGGGTAGCAGACGCACTAGCACCTAGAGCAGCAGCCTCAATGCCTGGGTCAGGCGGTACACACAAGTAACAGTCACCCGCAACACTATCATCAACAGCGTACATGGCAGCAAGAATAGCATCAAAATCAAGATCAAAGATAGCAGCTCCCGCCCTAGACAGCTCTCCCCAGCGAGGGATCTCAGAGGCCCCAGGGAACTGGTGACGCCACGCATCCGTCAGGTGGCCAAAGCAGCGCTGGGTGGAGTGCGGGCCCCCGCACTGCTCACCAGCGTGGTCGCCGGTGCGGAGAACGTAGGTGCAGGGACCCGTACCCCCACCGCGCTGACGCGCAACGTACCACTCACGAAGCTGCTGAGGGGACACAGTCTCACGACTGCTCTGCTGCTGGCGCGTACCACCACCGGAGCCACTCCTCTGCGCAGAGGCGCGACCAGGTCCACTGCTGCCGCCGCCGCCTTCGCCACCTCCCTCGCCTCCGCCGCCTCCGCTCCCTCCGCCACCGCCGCCGCCTCCTCCGCCTCCACAGCTGCCACCAACACCTCCACCCCCACTACCACTCTGAGCGACGCCTGGCGTACTGAGTTTGGCAACGAGGCTGAGTTCCCCGACTGGGTGGAGCTGCTTGGGCAGAGGGTAGATATATTTTCTCTTGACTATGATGCTATTCTCACTGCCATGTATGCATTGCCTACTAGTGCTGACCGTGCTTGTTACCTGTGCGTACCGCTTGACCCAGGTATAGAGCTTGCTGCTCTCGGTGCTAGTGAGGTTGCTGCTCTAGGTGCTAGTGCGTCTCCTGCTCTGGGTGCTGGTGAGGCTACTGCTCCAGGTGCTGGTGAGTCTGCTCTCTCTGATACTGCGCCTGCTGAGGCCTTGTACACCTTCACACTTGAATCAGGTGCTTCGCGATCCTTATTTCGCAACAACACCACCCTCACGCCGCTCAGCCGGCTGGTTCCTGTCTCCCTGGCAGATCCCTCTGGGGGTCCAGTCCTTGCGCACTCCTCCACGGTCCCGCCATGTCCGGCGGTCCCGTCTGGCTCCCTGTCAGGTCTTCACCTCCCCTTGTTCTCTACAAACTTGGTGAGTGGTGCTGACCTCTAGGACCAGTGGGTTGACCAGTTTACTCTTGGAGGGCAGTGCGTGACCCACAGTACGTGCTCTTGGACGGGCCGGCACCTGGCCACGTTTACTCGTGCGCCTGGCTCGAGTTTGTACACACTGAGTACTGTGTCCCCTCAGGTCGCTGCGTCTGCGCCTGCGTCAGGTCAGCTAGCGGCCCTTTGCTTGTGTCGTGCTTTGTCACCACCGCCTTGGTCACCCCTCGGTGCAGCGCCTTCGTAGCATGCACCGCCGTGTCCTTGTCTCTGGTCTTCCCAGTGTTCTCCCTCCCCTCCCACCCTCGCCTGCTCCTCCCTGTCTTCTCTGTGTCGAGGGGCGGCAGCGCGTCGCTCCTCACTCCTCCTTGTTCCCTCCCATAGAGGCTCCCCTGCAGACTCTCCACCTGAACGTGTGGGTCCCAGCCCACGTCCGTGGACAGGGCCACGAGCGGTACTTCTTGCTGGTTGTCAACGACTACACGCGTTATACCATGGTCTTCCCCTTGCGCACTAAGGGTGAGGTCCCTAATGTTTTGATCCCTTGGATCCGCGCTGCTTGTCTCCAGCTCCCTGAGCCATTCAGGACGGAGTTTCCCGTCCTACGTCTGACTCTGACAGAGGTGGGGATTTTTCCTCCGACTTCTTGGCAGCCTTCTGTGCGGAGCACGGCATCTACCAGACGTTAACACTTTCGGCCTCTCCGCAGTAAAATGGGGTTGCTGAGCGTCGCATTCGCTTAGTCATGGAGGTCGCTCGTACCTCCATGATCCATGCGGCTGCCCCGTATTTTCTGTGGTCGTTTGCGGTCCGGTACGCTGCGCATCAGCTCAACCTCTGGCCGCGTGTCTCCTTGCCGGAGACCTCGCCCACACTGCTGTGGACGGGGAAGGTTGGCGATGCGTCGCGTTTCCGGGTCTGGGGTGCTCGTGCCTTTGTCCGCGATACCACCGCAGACAAGCTCTCTGCCCACGCTGTTCCCTGTGTCTTCCTTGGCTTTGTCCCTGACACGCCTGGTTGACAGTTTTACCACCCCACCTCGCGCCGTGTCTTCCCCTCTCAGGACGTCACGTTCGACGAGTCAGTTCCCTTTTACTGTCTCTTCCTCTACCGCACTACTCCTCTCCCCCCCCCCCGCTGCTCTTCCTCGCTCCAGGTGCTCCCCAGGTAGACCCCCTCCCCGCTCCTGGTCCTGCTCCTTCAGGTGTGTCTCAGGTAGACCCTCCTCCCTTGACTGCACTGGTTGAGGTCACTGGTGACTCAAATCCTGCTAAGGGTGGTCCTCCTCGGGGTGCTAAGCCTAGGGGTGCGGAGCCTGGGGGTGCTGAGCCTGGGAGTGCGGAGCCTGGAGATGCGGAGCCTGGGGGTGCGGAGATTGGAGGTGCTGAGCCTGGGCGTGAGGAGTCTGGGGGTACTGAGCGTGGGGGTACTGAGTCTGGGGGTGCTGTACGTGGGGGCGCTGAGGCGTCTGGTGAGTAGTCTCCCTGGAGCGGCCGTCTCCGTAGTCGCTCCGCTGGTACCTCGCCGCTGCACTCTCGTCGTCGACTCCCTCTCTCCCTACAGCAGCTGCGTGAGTGGTACGTTGGCCGTCAGGGTCGCACTGCTGGGTGCCCTGTTGCGTGAGTTTCTGGAGCTGGTGACTCTGCTACTGGAGTTGTTTCTGCTGGAGGTTCTGGAGCTGCTGCGGGTGCTGGCACTGAGGGTTCTGAGTCTGCTGTTGCGCGGTCTCCTTGGAGTAGCGACCTTTGTCCCCGTGTGCCTCTCAACTCACAGCAGCTGCACGACTGGTACAGTCACCGTCAGGGTCGCGCTTCTGGAGCTCGGGGCTCTGCCGCTGGAGGTACTTCTGCTGACATCACTGGAGCTGGGAGTGGTGCTGGTCCCGGAGGTGCTCGTAATGGAGGTACTGGAGCTGGTGGGGCTGGAGGTGCTGAGCCTTAGGGTGCTGCTGCTGGAGACACTGAGGCTGAAGACCCTGGGACTGGAGGTGCCGGTTCTGGGAGTGTTGCTGTCGAGAGTAAAGGGAAGGATGAATTAACTATGGAGATTTTGGTACAAAAATATAACCTAAGGGGTTGTACCCCAAAGTGAGTACCCCACTAAAGCCTACCCAAACTATAACATATAACAATATGTTTGACACACCCCCATAGGCAAAGTGGGGGAGAACAGAGGGTCACAAGACCAGTCGGGAAGTGCAAAGCAAGCTCAGGGTGGATCGCAACGTCACCACGCAGTTTGCGAACATGCAACAGGCCACAAGGCCAGTTCGCATGCGGAGATATATATGTAACAACAATAGCACAGTGTTCTCTACCTACAAGAGCAAGCATGCAAGCATATATATAGATTCCTGCCTCCACCACCACCTTCACCGCCCCCGCCAGCCCCTCCAGCGCCCTTGCCCCCCTTGCCCTTGCCGGTGCGGCATCTCCCGCTCGGGACAGACGCAGCGCCGACCGACTCGAAACCAACGAGGTCGGCCGCAGCAGCAGAGGCGACAGAGGGCAAGAGGGGGGAGGGGGAACACCCCTCAAAGACTTGGGTGCGAGGGTCACCACGAGAGGCTCCTATAGCGACAATGCTATTCTCTGCTGCTAGGAGGCCCTTCTTGAGGAGGTCAACGGTGAGAGTGGTGGGGCAAACTGAGAGGAAGTGGTCCCTGACTACGCGGAGAGAGTCAGGGAGCCGGGTGACTATATAGTAGAGGGTGATGTACATGGGGGGGGGGGTTCTTGGC